CCTCACCCCCAAAGCTGGAATTTCTCTAAAATTATCACTCCAGACCAGGAGAGAGCACAGCAGCCATGGAAATGATGCAAACATTACAGAAAGCAAACTAAGAAAACAACCCACCCTTCACACAGCTGCTCTCTCATTCTTCACCTCTGCCACAAAGCCTGTCCACAGCTCTCTGCGCCTCCCCTCTCCCCACAAATGCAAATAATGAACTGGTGCCAGTGGCTTTTCCCTGGCCCAGGTAAATCTGCAGCCTCAGGGAGCTGGAGGGCAGCTCCAAGCTCCCAGCACTGAGGGAAACACTCGGGGTCTGGCACGGCAGCTCTGGCAATCCTCAGCCAAGGCCCCTGCGCTGGGAGGTTGTGGCAGAACCCCCAAACCCCTGCAAGGTTCCCTCCAGCTGCCCTGGCAGCCAGACAGGGGCCCAGGTCATGGCAGGGCTGCAATGTGCTCAGGAGGGGCTGCAGCCCGAGCTGTGCCCTCCAGGAACTCAGTTACTGCTCAGATTATTGCAATTCAGGCAGCAAAGCTGGCCCTGGCAGCTCGGGCTCAGAGGGGCTGGGGAGCTGCTGCTCCCACCCCTCCATGGCCCAAAAACCTCCAGATCCAGTTCTGGGGGAAAACGAGGGTAAAGGAGGGACCCTCTCTGAAAACAGCTCCAGAAACGTGCAGGATGGCCTGGAGTGCCCAGAGCAGCCCCACAGCAGCCAGGGCAGGGCAGAGGATTGGTTCAGGGTGCCTGCAATTAGCACAGGTGCCTGCAATTAGCACAGGGTGGCTCTGCAACCCGGGGTTCAGCTGAACACCAGGCACTCCCCAAGACTGAGGCTGCCCTTGACACTGCTGCTTCACACCAAGAGCTTTAATTCTCTACAGAAGCATGAAAAGAATGGGTCTGAGTTTGTCCCAAATAAGTAATCAAGAGGAGATTTATCTGGTAATTTCCATCATTATCTTTGTCTGCTGCTGCATCTCTGCTGACAGCTCTGAAATTCTGGGCTCTGAAATCTGGCCCAGGAGCATTTCAAAGCACAGCAATCCCTCACTGCCTGGTCTGGGAGCTTGGCAAGGGAAGGAGGAGTGGGAGCACTGGGGGTCACTGCCCTGCTCCCAGCACGTGGGGTGCAGCACCAGGAACTCACTGCCTGCTGCTCCCCTTTTTCAGGTCACCTCTCACATTTCATCAGTCTCAAAGTATTTCTAGAGCTGAGGGCAAGTGAGAGTGCTGGGGAGGGAATAGGGACTGCCCAGCAGCTCAGCCACAGCAGCAGGACCTGGGAGCCAGCAGGATTTGGGATGCAGGAGCAGGACCTGGGAGCCAGCAGGACCTGGGAGCCAGCAGGATTTGGGATGCAGGAGCAGGACCTGGGAGCCAGCAGGATTTGGGGTGCAGGAGCAGGACCTGGGAGCCAGCAGGATTTGGGGTGCAGGAGCAGGACCTGGGAGCCAGCAGGATTTGGGGTGCAGGAGCAGGACCTGGGAGCCAGCACTGGCAGGGGCTCCCATGGGTATGCCCCAGGCTGGCTGCTCCTCATTCCCTTCCCAAAGCCAGGGCAGGATAAACACAGTTTCTCCTCCTGATTCCCACACTTAAACCATAAAACTTCCCCTTCCCTCCAAACAGAGCTCAGTAATGAAAAAGAATAAGAGCAGAACTCACTTTTTTCCCCCGAAGTGCCTCCTGTCCGTGGCTCAGCAGCAGAGGAGCTCCACTGACCTCCACCTGCTCTCTCCTGTGCCACAGGTGCCTCCCATCCCAGCCATCCCAGCCCCACCAATCCTGACCTTCAGCCGGCTGCCTGCTCAGGTGATTGCACTCAGTGCCCTGCTCCAGGCACCAGGGATGGTGTTCACCCAGCACTGTCCCCTGCCAGGGGATGGTGTTCACCCAGCACTGTCCCCTGCCAGGGGATGGTGTTCACCCAGCACTGTCACCTGCCAGGACACCTCAGCCTGCTCTCATCTCCACCCACCCTTCACAACTGGCAGTCACTGAGCTCCTCGGATGAAAGGCTCTCTCTCCTCCACGTGCAAATTGTGATTAATGAGTGTCTAGCCTGGCTCCTTGACAGAAGATGCACCTTGCACATGTTATCTCTGCAGGATGTTATCTCTGCAGGATGTTATCTCTGCACCCTGTTATCTCTGCACCCTGTTATCTTTGCAGCCCTGCACCCTGGCACGGGCAGGTTCAACTCCTGCCCAGTGGCTCCAGCAGCTCCCGTGCCCAGCTCAGTGTCTCTGCAACCAGGAGCTCCAGAGATGTAAATGCTGCCACTTGACCCCGTGTGTCTCCAATAAATGATGTTCACAGCCCAGAGCTCTCCTCCCTGCTGAGCTGAACGTTTGTGGTGGCTCACTCTGAACAGGGCTGGGACAGAATTTTTGGTTGGTGCAAGATAAACTGAAAAGTTTCAGTATTGGCCTCTGAAGCCCCATGTTCTGTAGCTTCAGACAAATTAAATGTGAAGGCAGGGCTCAGGTTTTTTCCCTTTTTTTTCTTTTTTTACTTCCCTCTGCTGTCTTTTCAAATGCAGCCTGTCCTGTGCCCAGAGCCAGGGTTTGGTCACCTTGCTCCTGTCCAGCCAGCAGCCCTGGGGTCCTGGAGGTGCCACCACCCCTCGTGGGTGCACAGGGACACCCTCCTCAAAAATGTCCCTGGAGCTGGTACCTTCTGTGCCACCACACCATCATTTCTGCTCCAGTTCTGTGTTTCTGCCTCCTCTGCTGCTGTCTGCTGCAGCTCCACGCTGTAAATGCCTTTTCCACCTCAGGGACACCTGCGTTTTCCTAGGAAGAGCCACGTAATTAATAAATAAATAAATTCATTCGTTCCAGGGGTTGCCCATGCCAGCAGCAGAGTCCTGGAGCTGCTGGTGCTGGTGGAGGCAGGCACTGAGGAAGATGGATTGTGGCACTGCCCTGCCCTGTGCCTGGCTGAGCTGCTCCTGCCATCCATCATCATCACCCGGCTCAGAGAGGAAGGCTCAGAGCAGGGAAAGGCTCCCACACGTCTCTGTCCTCCCTCCAGAAAGGGGCAGAAATCCAGGGCAGGGGATGCAGCACTGCACAGAAAGGACAGAGGAGCACCCCCTGAGCAAAGAGAGGTTAATTTGTCAAGCCGTGTAAAGCATTTTAATTACAATCCATATAACATGTATAAATAAATATTACATTCTTTCAGTCTACAATGCATACTAGGCATACCTTGTTAAAACGTCCATCTATGTTATTGGGTGGCAGGATTGACTTTGTCCAAGTGAAAAAAAAACCAAACTACAGAGTTTAGTAATTAAAAAACCCAAACCAAGGAAATTGATGGCGAAGACAGGACGATGCAAGTGCTTCTGGCTAACATAATACTGCTTCCAAAGGCTGGCTCTGCCTCCTCCTTCCAGTGAGGAGAGGCTTGGGAGGACACCAGGTTCCTCTTTGAATGGATTCTGATCTGTGCCCTCCATGAATGTGAACTGGCACTGAGCCAGCGCAGTTCTGCCAGTTCACGCCACAAATTAAATCTCTATTTTGTATTTATTAAATCTCTATTTTGTATTTGCTTCTGATTTATTACTGCCTTGGTATTTGTTTGTTCAAAATTCAGATTTACAATCTGGTCGAAACTTTTCAGTCTTTGCTGGTCCAATGGCAAAAAAAAAAAAAAATCTATAAAACAGCTCCAGATATTTCTTGTTCTTGCTTCAGCAACATTTCCCTCCCTCCCTCCCAAGAGTGTGCCCAGAGGCCAGCTCTCCCAGAACAAGGGAATAAATGTTTGGGGCAATCAGGATCCTTCTGTCCATTGCTCTTCTTGCTTTCAGAGCTTGATGAGAGCTGGGGACACCAGAATAAACAGAAAATTGCAGCACAAAATTATGAATTCATGAACCTGGCAAAAAAAACAACCCAAACCAACCCAACTCCAGGCTGTGCATATTTGGCCTGTGGTGGTCTCAGTTCCAGGAACATTTACAATGCACCAGAGGGGCACTCCCTTTGCTTGGTACTTCTAAAAGCTACCAGAAAACAGCACCTCCTTCCCTTGGTGAAACACAGGAACTTTGGTTGTGGAAATTTAAAACGAGCAACTAAACAAACAACCCCAGCCTGAAAGGAAAATGAAAATTCTTCCAAACAGAACATCTTTCTAGCCAGGGTGAAATGGAGGCTCAGGCTTTCAGAAGAGACACCACGTGGAAATTATTAGTCAATACTTATCCCCTGAATTCTTTAAATGACAGGAGACTGCTTACAGCTACCTTAGAAACAGAATGTTCTTGTCTCACTGTGAACTTATTGAATTTTAAATTTTCCTGTTTTCAAGATATTTAAAAGAAAAAATACAAGAGGGAAAATGATTCTGTTTCAATTTACAAGACAAATGGAAAAGTAAAAATGCAAATACCAGGTAATTTCTTCCTCCTTCACATGTAATGCCAAAGACACATCTTCATTTCAAATGAAGGAATGAAAAGAAATGGCTTGAGTACCAATATAAAAATTCTCCTTGTGGGTCACATGTCCATAACTGTGATGTTTTATTGCAACCAGAACAAGTTATTGTTTGCCTCTTGCTTATTCTTTTCATGCTCTTATATTCTCTCATTTCTTTTTACAGATATTTTTGGTACTGTGAAATATTACTATCGTTATTATTTGTATGACCCATAAAATGAATTTTCACAACCTCATCTTGCCGAGTTCCTCAAATTGGTCATACCATTTCCTTGTTCCTTTCCTTTTGTATTCCACTTCCTAAATCCATGAGTAGCAGAATAACCACTGCGGGAAAAAAAAATAAACAAACAACAAAACCCCAACAAAACGAAGCGAAAAACAAAAACAAACCACGGACAGTTTGGCAAATTTCTTTCCCTGATTATAAAAACTGCCTCATTGTTTCTCCTCCTGGCGATCCCTTCCCCTCCCCTTCATCCCAATATATACTGTAGAACTGAAGGCATCAAGGTGTGGTCAAACCCAAAAAAAAACACCCCAGCAGGGAGCTACGCTTTGTCTTTGAACTTCCCCACGTAGTTTCTGATCTCTTTGGAGTCGCCCAGGTCCATGTCCTGGCACACCCACTTAATGTCATCGTCATTGCTGCCGAGGATGGAGTTGATGGTGGGGCAGCCGTCGTCGGGCGGGATGGTGGTGAACGTGGTGAACTTCACCCGCTTCCTCTTGGACGTGGGCGAGTGCAAAGGCTCCACCTTGTGCTCCTTGCCCAGCCTCCCCCCCGGGTCTGCAGCCCTGTGCAGCTGGCTCTGAGTGTTCTTCTGGGCGCTGCCGTTCAGCAGCTGGTTGCTCTCCTCGGCGCCCGAGCCCCGGTCGATGATGGTGGTGTGCTCATCCTGCTGGGGCGACGCGTCCGCCGCGTTCTCCAGCAGCTCGGCCTCGTTGCCCAGCCACACCCAGTCGTGGGAGTGCGTCATGGTGCTCTGTCCTTCCACCAGCACCTGCTTGTGGCGGTACTTGAGTGCAAATGTTGCACAGTTGATGAGGAACACCAGGATGGCCAGGCAGAAGACGCCCAGCAGGGCGTACATGCCGATCTCCAGGTCGCTGAGCCCCCGGGGTGTCTGCACCAGGTCGTTGTCCTCCATGCCAGCACCTCCTTTGGGCAGGTCCACCTGGGCGGGGAAGTTGGTGAAGTCAATGGGGATGTTCTGCAGCTGGCTGTCGTCCGACAGCTTGCCGCCGTCCAGGCGGTTGTTTTTGATGACTTTGTTTTTGAGCACGGACTTGGCCGTGGTGCTGGCCTTCCTGAGGGGCCCCTCGGGGTCCCTGTCGGCCGAGGAGCCGCCGTGGTAGCGCCCGTCGTGCCCCGGCTCCGGGCCCTTGTGGCGCCGGTCGCTGGCGCGGTTCTCGATCTCGTCGGCGTCGTAGTCGCCGCCCGCCTCCGTGTCCGCGTCGTTCTGCCCGAACTTCACCCTGATGCTGCCGCTGCCCACGGCCAGCACGCTCTTCCTCTTGGACTTCTGGCACGCCTCGGAGATCATCATGTCCACCTTGACCAGCGCGCCCTGGCCCTCGCCCTCTGCCGCCACCACGGGCCACCTCAGGGCAGGGCTCTGGTGCACCGAGACCACGGCCTCGTCCAGAGACACCGCCGACAGCCAGAAGTCCTTGGGGTCGTAGATGTCCAGAGGGGTGACAGAGCTGTCACTGAACTGGATCCAGGTGCTCACCACGGCTTCCTGCAAGGACAGGGACATGGTTAAACACAGGCCTCTGTCACAGACATATTTTATGAAAAAATCCTTTTGATGGGATTTTTTCTCCTGAGAAGCTGAGAGGCCTCAGAAACAAAATGCAAACAATAATTATCTGCTGCTGTGGAATGCAAAAGGTGCATCTTTGATTGGTCCATGTGAGTTGTTTCTACTTGATGACCAATCACAGTCCAGCTGTGGTGGGACTCTGGTCAGTCACAAGATTTTATTATCATTCATTCCTTTCTTTGCTAGCCTTCTGAGGAAATCCTTCTATTCTTTTAGTACACTTTTAACATATCATTTTCTTTTAATATAATATAATATATATCATAAAATAATTAATCAGCCTCCTGAAACATGGAGTCAAGATTCTCATCTCTTCCCTCGTCCTGGGACCCCTGTGAACACCAGCACAAATCAGCCCAGTCTGCTGCAGCCCATCCCTCTCCCAGCTGGAGGAAATGGGACTCTGCACTGTTTGAAAACAAACCAAGCCTCGACTGATGGGGCACAAAACTGGCCACATTCGTCACCAAAGGTTCCACTGTTACTCTCCCTGCAAATGTTTTGCACAAGGACGTAGAAAATAATTGATATGAGATGTCTTTATTACCCAAGTGCCCATTAGCAAGGTACAATTTTACAAGCTCTGTAAGGAAAGTCATTCCTGTGGTACAAAAGCCAAAAGAGGCAAATCACAGAAATTACCAGAGGCACTTGACAGAACACTTATTTCCCTCATGTAACACATGCACAGGTGCCATGAGGAGCTGTCAAATTAAGGCATAAGGATCTTAGCAGGAGTACGGAGCTACTGCAGGATCTTGGAAATGGCTGGAGCACAAGATTCATCTGAGAGAAAAAACCTCACAGAACAATTGCCATTTTGCTGGAGAAAGGTTTGTTTCAAGCAAAACACACTTTATCCTTGAGATAATTAAAAAGTCCACCAAATTTCTGTGTCAAGAAGAGGAGGACGGGGATTCTGGCATGATGTCTGCAATAAAAATACAAATGGCCTGGATTTAATTGGTCTGTCTTTGTGCTCTGCAGGTAGCACTGTCAGAAGTCATCATTAGAAGCAAACACAAAGCCAGAGGTCAGCTCTCTGCCCTGTGAAATCCCATCCAGATGATACAGATATTTACTTCCCATCTCAATAGCTTTCTTTGCAGGGCATTTCTTTAATTTTTCATTTGTTCTGTGCCTTGCCTGCGTAGCCAGCAGACGGCCAGGCAGATTGCCAGAGTGCAACTTCCCACAGAAGTGAAGTTCTCTCCTTCCCACACTTCAACCACAAATGGCTCTAATAACTTCACACTTGGGTACATCAGAACAACTGGGCTGGAAAACCAGCACTGGGGAAAAACATTGCCACCCTGTTAATGTCCACTCATAATACAAATCTACAACTTAATATGCTTTTCAATTGGCTGCAATTTGTTATGCTATGGTTATAAACAAAGAGAATTGCTACCCTTCCAGTTGAATTTAGAGCTTTTCAATGAGAACAGCAAGGGACATTTAGCTGGGCAGAAGGTTGGGCCATACTGAATATTTGATTTCCAAAGCACTATCAGCAAGTACTTGAGGGACTGAAAGAAGAAAAATAAGTTGTGGCACAACAGGAAAGAAGGCAAAGTTCTTGGTGATTCAAATTTACTTCAAAGTGCTGAAACGGAGCCAGGGTAGCTCAGAAGCTGGGAAGGGTGAACTGCATAAGGAAATTAAAACATCTGATCCTTCATTAGAGAAACAACCCTGAAATGAGTGAACAAACACAAAGCTGCAGGGCACAGCTCGAATTTCCATCACAGAAATCTATAGCAGAGCAACCCCGGCCAGAGGAAAGCAAAGGGGTTTTTGAATGGATATGTGCAGAGAGAAAGGGATTCACCTCCTCAGGCAGTTCAGCATCCTGCTGCCTCCCCTCTCCCCAAAACAAAGGTCAGCCTCATGTGCCATGGGGAAGGCACACGGACTTTGCAGCAGCCCGTGCCAGGGAAAACAGCAGCATCACTTCCAGCACATCACCACTGCCTGCCTGTGGGCCCTCCTCTGGAGAGCAGGCTGAGAAAATAAATTCCTGCACGATTTTGCTCAGGTGGGGCTGGGAATGATGGCAGCTGTGCCCCTGCCCAGCTGGGAACAGGCCCAGCTCCACAGCCCCACCACGGGACTCACCTCGCTGAACCCTCCGTGCATTCGGACAAAGTTGCCACCAACTTCAAAGCAACTTTTATTCTTTATGCCACTGCTCTACAAATCTGCATTCCTGGTTTTATGAAGCAGAGACAGAGAAAAATGGGATGGCAGTCAGCTGAAATTTGCAGGCACACTTTGTGATTTACTGTAGGTAACAGAGGCGTGCACTGGCTTAGCCATTATTTTCCACCAGCATTGACATTTTTTATTTCCAGGAGAACGTTTCTTTATAGGAGGAACCAATTCTTTTCACAAAACAACATTGTCATGCCCATACTATGGACAACATTAATTAAAAGGGAAAGAAAACAAATGAGAGAAAGAGGAGAGAGTTAAAAATCCTGCCAAAATATGTTGTATCAGACCAAATATTCTATTTGGCAAGAGATCATTTCCTCTCATTCACATCATTAAAGGAAAGCCAAAGGCAGGGCAAGGAAGTGAATTTCCCAAATGATTATAAATTCTGAGAAGCTAAAAAGAAAAGAAGAGAGAAAAAGGAAATGATTTAGTGCCATGTCCTTCAAGGAGCTGTTTCTGCAAATCCTGTGTACCACATCAATAAATCCCCTCCAAATCTCTGACAAGGTCCTCCAGTTACTCTCAGAAGATGAAGATGGATTGGAGCCTTCTCACCTGCCAAGTGCTGCCCCTCGTCTCCTGCCCTCAACACTGAGGTGACAAATGCTTGTGCTCTTTAATTACCAAGCACAAACAAAGGGTGGGAGGGATTCTCTTGCTTTCCAGCCTTTATTTCCCTCACTTTTCCTCTCTGACACACACGGAGTGACCACAGGGACACACCAGTGCCAGTGCTCCCCCCAGAGCAGGAGGATCTCAGGGCTGACTGTGCTGTGGGGTCAGAGATGCTCATCAGGCCATGCTAATGACAGCAAAATCCAGCCCAGAGATGATGAAGCTGCTTCCCACAGCCACTGTTGATTACCACCAGGCTTTCCTTAAGCACATAAAACACTTCATCAAGACATCTTTTGTCCAACCTTTCCCTTGTGCCTCTGCTGCTCTCTTCTCCCATCACAGGTGTATTTTCAGCTCTTGATCTGTGGCAGTTCCACCACCATTCCTGGCCTTGAATTACACTGTGGCTTATCAGTGCAAAGATACCATTTGATAAATCTTCTTGGATAAACTGGTTGCATTTTAGAGAATTCTGCTGCTTAGAAACACAGATCAGGATATTTGATTTTATTCCATGCTCAGAATAAAGTGGCCTTTTAATGGTCTCCATTCACTACAGCACAAATAAAAAGTATTTGTGAATAAGCCCTCAATTGCTGGGGTCAGCTGCAAGGGTCCTGGAGTGAGGCAGGACATCAGAGGGAAGAAATGGTTGGCTCTGCAGAAAACAAATACATCCCTCCCTCAATAAAGGCAAAGGAATATTGTTCTCAGCAGCTTCTGCTAGACCAGCTCTGATTGCTCTGTCTGGGGACTTCAGTGCTGGAATGGATTTCCCTGGCAATTTTATCACATGAAATATCAAAGTATTACATGTGCATTTATTTTTAAGCCTGTGTCTTGTGTAGTAAAAATTGGGCTTGATCATAATGGTGTGGAAATGAAAGCAGCCAAGACTCAGATCTTAATTCAAACCATGCCTGCCCCCACTGTGGGTTCCTCTCTCTCCTTTTTGTCCAATCTGCTCATGTGACATTCCTTTCCAGTGGGAATTTGCTCTAAGGGAAGAATTCAGATTCTTATCCAACAATGCATCCCTTCTCCCTTTCCCATGCTGCTGAATTCCTCTGTCATTCCTGTGAGCCACTCCATTGCTCTGTCAGCTTAAAGTAGATATAAACACAATTTGGGTGTAACTTCCACTGCCAGGATGGGGCAATGAGCCCACACCACAACAATACTGCTAATATCTGTTATAAGATATAAATACAATTTGGGTGAAACTTCCACTGCCAGGATGGGGCAATGAACCCACACCACAACAATACTGCTAATATCTGTTATAAGATATAAATACAATTTGGGGAACACCAGACCTTGGCTCTGAGAAAGCACCAACACTGCTCTTTATCCCTGGGAAAGTGTCTGCAGCTCCCCAGCAGCACTGAGAGACACTTCAATGCACAGAACTGTTTATTAAAGGCCTTTTTCTTCTTTCTTCACTGATCCATTTCAGTTCATCAGCCCCCATGCAGTACCCTGCAGTGACAGAAAAGCTGGGTATGGCTGTGAGTTCCCCTGCAGAGCCAGATGAGCTTTGAGAGTCCTTGAAGCTCACTTAGATCAGAAAACATTTAAACACTGTAGGTTTCCTTTTGTTTACATTTTGGAGAAGCCTTTAGGATGACAATGCTGATTTAACAACCATCAGCAAGCCAAATGGAGCAGCCTTCCTACCTGAGCAGATGGCCTCCAGAAATAGATTACTCACAGCTAGAGTTTCCGAATTTCCAGAAGACACTTCATCTTTGATATTCAGAAGTTGGTCAACCTATGTCTATTTTTAGGCACCTAAATCACTGATCCACTTTTCAGTGCCAATGAGCTCCCCATTGATTAAAAAATAATACATGGGCTCAGCATCCCTCAAGGTCACCTTGTCACAGCAGGTAATTAGTTGCTCAGCTATAGATAAAGGTATCTAACTTAAAGCATCCAAGGTGAAAAAAAATTGGCTTATCCTCTTTAGAGTGCTTTGTATTTATGGAGAAACTGCCAACTTTTCAGGACTTGTGCTTTGGCTGCTTTGTGCTGTGTGTGCAGACAAGGTGTGGTCATTAGAACTGAGGTAATCCACTCCTTATGGTCACTGAAAGGAAGCCACAGCAAAAGTTCTGCATTTTGTTTTCCAGTTGCATCAGTAAGGTTGCATGAGTTATTTGGGCCTTTTTATAAACTTGCCTGAGAGGAAAAGACACACTTAAATAATGAAGTCCTCACAATGTTCAAGTACAGGCTTAGTCCTGGGCTGTCTCCTTGGAAAAAACCCTCTTTCAAAAGGGCTTGATTTTCAGAAAACACTCAGCATTTGCCTTCAGAATTCCAGCTCAGTCAGGATCTCAGCTGATGCACTCCAAATCATGAGTCACTTCTTGCAAAATTTAGCCACAAACATTCCCACATTTGCATTCATTTTTCTAAGGCAAAGTGACTTAAATGTTACATCTTTCATTCAAGCTGCAATGAAAGGAAAAGATGTCTGTGACTCTATAGGTCACTCCTACAGCATTTCCTTCCACTTATTTCCCAGTGTGAAATCTATTCCTGTCTTGCTTTTGGTGATGGAGATCAGAACCAGGGCCTGACTTGTGCATCAGAAATGTGCCACCCTCAGCAACCTGAGACAGTCCTGCAGAGCAGCAGCAGCTTAAACCACACATTTCACCAAAATTACTTCAGAACTCAGATGCTGGGAGAAATGATTTAAACCCAAACAATGTTCACATGTTTTGACTGTTCTGTATGACTTCCTAACGTGCCAGCTGCAGTGACATGCAGTGACATGTCACACCACATTGCCACGCCATAGACACAGGAGGTGGCACAGGGGGCACCCCTGGCATCATCTGCCTTAACCTGATGCTGACAAATGTCTCTGCACACTCAGGACAGACCATCCATAAACCTGAGAGGCTGACAGTGGCACTGGGCAGCCTCTCCAGATCCACAGGCCCTTCTCTCTGCAATCAGAGCCACAATTCTTCCAGGGCAGCTGCAGGACTGGTGCTGCTCTGTCCCACAGCACAGGACTGGGTCAGGAGGGCTCCAGTTTTTGTTTTCACAGTCTTTGTCTGAAGACAGTATGCCAGATGTGGTTTCTAAGCCCTGAAGAAGGGTATAAATGGGTTAATTACATAAGATTCTTATGTTTACAGGATGCAACAAATGGAACAGATGGGCACTGTGTCCTTCTAGTTTGGACATTTCCCTGTCACTAAGTTATAAAACAAACTTGATTATTTTTATGTTCCAGAAAATTAGGTAGCAATAATCATGAAAATGGGCCATAAAACTTGACTTGAGATCTCTCCCTATCTATGTGAGAGGAAAAATGGAGTAGCTGTGGACAGATTTAATTGCATGGTCCCCAGTCCCAGCCCTCAAATCAACTGACCAAAGAAGCATGTTCCAGTGCTGGCCCTTGGGTTTATTCTGGGCCAAAGTGACTGTTGGCCTTGATCTGGTGGTGTTCTCCAGTCTTCTTTTCCACAGAGGTTGTGACCTGAGACAAGCTGTTTGAGACCCCCTTTAGAGAGATGGGAATTTGCTGGCTTAAATAAGATCAGCACATGAACTGGATGATGAATTCCCCAAAATCCACATGAAAAACAAAAGGAGAGATGAGCCTGGCAGTGTGTCATGGTTCCAGGAGGGAAAAGAAATGGATGTGGCCATCTTCTGCCTTTTACAGCTCTTGAAGATATTAAATTGTGACACACAGAGCTCTGTGCTCTCCAGAATGGGAAATCAAGCAGAGCAGGATCACTGTCCAAAGACTGCCTGTGCAGTGAAAACAACACAGGTTCATTAGGTACAGAAAGTATTGGAACTCTAAACAGCATAAACTTCAGTGCACTTAGAACTTTACTGCAGACTGAAGTCCCTATTGAAGGGAAGAAAAGGCAAGGCAGTGCCAGAGATCTGTAGGGAAAAGCCATTAACATGGACATGGATTACACCTGAAATCAAAATTCTACACTGGCCATGAATTCTCATCTGCACTTTACACTGATGAAGTCCTGCCCCATCCCAGAGGGCAAACCCAGTGAATTCAGAGGGCACTTTACCTGCTTGGGAGTGTGCAGCAGCTCCTGGGCAACGGCTGTGGCCACAATGGCCCTGCTGGTGGCTGCACTGGGCTGCAGGAAGAGAGAAAGCCCAGACACCAGCTGCACCCCAAGGTCTGTGATGGTCACTTTGTCATCCAGCACAGTCACTGTCTTCTCTGCCAGGATGGAGTCAGACAGAGGAGACAAAACCTTTGGAGAAACACAGAAGAATCAATTTAGGAAAAGGCTGATCAATTGATAAAACCTTTCTTAAGGTCATCGTCCCTTCTTGTCTCCAAAGCTTTAGCACAGAAATGAAGAGCACAGGAAAGGCAGTCTGATTTCATTAGCAGGGTCAGAAAACCTGACTGGACAGGTTATGGCTGAGAACCATCCAAGACTGGGAGCTGTCCTGTCCCAGTTGTGTTATTTGCATTATTTCACCACAAGAGTGGATTTAAAATTCTCTTCTGTTACTCTGTCTTCCCATGTGGATGAGCTCATTAAACCTCCCAACTGCTCCAAAGGGATGTTACCAGCCTAGGATTTGTCCTTCATTTCTTGGCCTGGAAATTCTGTTCCTCCAGCTTTTTTTGTTTCTGATGGAACATCAAGTCAGTGAAACATCCTTCCCTTAGCTGAAACTAAGGTCCCTGCTGCTCTCTTCAGGAACTACAGAGAGGCAGCTCATGCACATGCTGTCCTCCCCACCTTCCTCACACCCACACACATCAGCTCTGTCCCCCTTTGTGCACTGGTTTGGTCAGGATTCCCACGAGTAGCCCCAGAGATGTCTGAGCTGGGGCATAGCAGGAGGGGCACACAGCCCAGGGCTGTACCTGCATGGTGGTCATCCCCACTTCCCGGCCGACCAGGATCCTGCCCTCCTGCAGCCTGGCAATGTGCGGGTCCTCCAGCTTCATGAAGTCCCTGACCAGGTCAGTGATGTCAAAGTGCCAGTCTGAGCCCAGCAGGTAGCTCAGCTGTCCCCAGGGCCCCGAGTCCTCGGCCACGAACTGGGTGAGCACCCTGACCATGGCGTGCTGGTACTGCAGGGTGCAGCCCCTGCCCCTGCGCTCGTCCTCGTCCTCGTCATCGCTGTCCCGCGTGGGCCTGGGGGCAGGAGAGAGCACAGCATGGAGAAACGGCCTCAAAACGGTCTCAAAACATCACTGAAAATTAACACTGGAGTGCTAGTGGAGAGTGCCCCTCAAACAGAGCCTGGATTTCTGGATTTCTGCACTATGGATGTCCACCTCTCGTGATGAAGGACCACACAACAGCCCTGTGCCACCTTTTCACCCGTGCTGCCACCTCCCAACACCACCTCTGCCAGGGCACCTTACCAGAGTCCCACTCTGTGTTTTGCTGCCCAAGACACACACATGCACAGAAGCAGGAGTCCCACAGCTTTACCAGCTTTATTGTATCTGCAGATGCCCAGTGCAAAGCTGTACCAGTACTGCTGCTCCTCAGGGCAAGAGGCAGCATTTTGGGAGCATTCCTTTTACAAACCACCCAAAAATGCAGCGACTCCAACGCACCTTTTGTTGGAAACCACAGGGACTCGCCAGCCTTTGATCTGGCTGAGCTCAGTGTCGGAAATGTCGATCTGGAGGGGCAGGCGTGGCACCCACACCGTCATCTGCAGGGGGGCACTCAGGTACTGGTAGGTGAAGTTCACCAGAGCGTTCACCTTGCCTTTCATCTCCTTGCCGTTGACAAAAACGTAGTCACACCTGTCAGAAACCTGAGAGGGGGAGGAGAAAAGGTGATCACTGTGGCAGAAGGTGGAGAAAAGGTGATCACTGTGGCAAAATGAGCTCCAAGTGTCACCCGGGCAGCTCAACCCCGAACAAACAGCAGAGGCTCCCCTCTCTTCATGCATGTTCATGATGGCCTGGTACAGTGGGAGCAGCTGAACACAAACCCCTCCCTGGCTCAGGACACAACGTGCTGGAGATGCCTAAGGGCTGGATGCTGTTTATGAAGCCTGCAGCTGATTTTCTGCAGTGCAGCGAGCTCCAAACTGATGGCAGGGCTGGGGAATCCTTAATGAGCAAAGCTCTTCCCAGCTTGGTCAAGAGGAACCCAGCAAAGCCAGACTGGGCTCCACAGGGGCAAGCAGCCAGTCAAAGCTCTGCCCTGAACACGACCTCCACCAGGGGTGATGCTGCTTTCAGCACTGGCTCTGCAGTAGATTTCACCCACTGAAGAGTAACAGAAGTCATTTCCTCTGCAATAAACATTATCTGTTTGTAAATGTTTACATTTTGATTAAAGCTGTAAAGTATTTCTAAACACTACAGTAGATTTATCATTAATATGTAAATGCTGTCCTGGAATATAAGCAAGCATTATCATAGCCATGTAAGAGTTATATCAGTAATCACTTCTTTAATCAGTGTTGTAATTTACAGACCATTGAGTTTTCTCATTTATTATGTTACTGAGTACTAGTGATAAAATCACTCCTGGATATATAAATCATTAAGAGAGATGCAGATAGTATGAAGTGACTCCATGTGATAAAGTCATTGTCATTTCTATTCCTAAAGGTGTCATAAATGTCTGGGGAAATCCAGTGGCACATTAATCATACATTAAGTGGTGAGCAGTGGGAGCTGTTACATTACTAAATGAGCTGGTATGTCTGCAGAAATTAACAGCAAAGCCAGCAGATCCCAGCTCCTGCTCTTGCTCCCATCCTGTCAGAATTCTATTTCATCACCCCTAATGAGCGCTGGTAATGGTGGAAATGCATCTCCCACCTGAGCATGTATTTATGTTATCATCTGCTCCCTTCCACCCATTCCCAACCCCATTTTATTCAAATGAGGATTATCAGCTGGCAGCGCTGGTGTCCCCACACTAACCCAGCAGATGGATGTCCTCTGTGGCCACAGATGCAGGAGCTGAACTGCTCCCACTCTGACACACCACATTTGTATCCTCTCCTGGGTTTAGGCACTGCTCATATTCTGGTAAAATATTTGATGATGAGATTGCAAAAAGAAACTTCAGAGAACACAATACAAACATTTCTGTGCCTGGCTGCCTCAGAGGGTCATGCTCCAAGAGCTCTGTTGACTGAAGCACTACCACTGCTGCAATCCCTGAGCCATCCCTCCCTTCAGGCTCCTCCCTCAGACCACCTGAGGCCAGTTTAAAACCCTGAAGGGGGCAGAAGCACCTTCATTTCAGCACCACGACTGCCATGGCCTATTTTGCCATCCATCAGCTTGAATGGCAATACAGGAACAGGTTTAGTTCACACCAGGCTGTTTCAGAATGTCTGTTTGATCCAATCTAAAAGCACTAAGGTGGAAATAACATCCCAGACAACTCAGACAACTTGGATCTGCAGTTATTCAGGGCAGGCTTGGCTACACTGCTTGGCTCTGTTGTCCTGGATGGAAACATAGGGCTGGTGAGGACAGCCAAAGGCAATGGCACAGGGAGCCATGGAGGAAGGATAGAAAGCAGATTTTTTTTTAAAATGTGTCACATTAGAACTCAATTTATTTTTTAATTAAAAAGATATATTTGTTGAAGAGTTTTTGATAGACAGAAGTGCTTTTCTGTTTTCCTCCAGGCTTTTGCCAGCATTCTGGAAGGACAGGGAGCAGTGCAGGGACAACCTCTGAGCTCTGGGTCCTGCCCACTCCAGGCCAAGAAAGTTTCTAACAGTGGCTGGAGACTCTGTGAGCACTGATGTGTCTCTCATCTCCTGTAGTATTTATGCTTTTACTATGAAAACATCCTCCCTCTGAAAGTGCTTTTTATCTCTGCCATCAGAAGAAGTGAGCAATGATGAAGGGAAAGCCTGCTCAGCCACCACCTTTAAGTGATTGGGTTTTTTCTTTCCTGCTTAGCAGATCAGCAAGAAGTTTTGCATTTTAAAGAGTTCTCTGATGCTATTTCAGCAGTTTCTTTCATTATTAAGCTGCATTCAGCTACTTTTCCCTTTTTTCTATTTTCCTAACTTCTTTCTCCAGATTAAAACTGAAATAAAGAAGCAGACAGCAAAGCCAGGGCTAAGCACAATTCCCTGGAGGCTTCCTCTTTGTCTTCTTCCTGGCATTGTATTTTTGTGCCCCCTTGTAACAAAGGCCATTGCCTTTCCAGATGACTTGGACAGATTCTCTCGGCAACAAATCACATTTTATTGAGCTGCCAGAGAAAACTGCTGCCTGGAAATGAAGAGAGTCCCTCCTGGGTGGTACCTGTGGCACTCTGATCTGGGGAGGGAACGTCCCTCACCCCTGGCAAGCACAGATGGGCTGCAGTGAATGGAAAGGACATTTCTGGAACTGTTACCAGGCCAGTGCAGAACCCCTGGGTCTCCCTGCACTTCCCCATTTCTGATTAAGCTTTGATCCCACCCTGACTCTGTACTGCAGACTGCAAGGAGGGAGCAGGAGCTGCTGGAGGTCACCACAAAGGATGTGACAAGGACAAACAGCCAGACAGGGGCTGCTGGCACCTCTGGACAACACTGGGTTTGCCAGGTTAAATCCCACTACAGACTCCTGAGAAATCTCCCTTCAGTTACAGGCAGTTTTGGAAAGACAAATGTCAAACACAAGCTAAGGCTGCCTTTCAAGGGATGGAGAACTCAAGGCACTGGTTTGTGCCTGTGGCACACAGGAGTGGAAGAATGGCAACTGTAAAACCTAAAAATAAATGAGTGGTTGCCTCTGTGAGTCTGCTCCAGTCCAAGCTGGTTTATTCTCCCAGTGCTTTTCCCCTCTGGAGATACCAGCCCAGTTCAGAAGGACAGAAAGAGAAGTTTTCAGTGCAGCAATCCTGTCAGGTTTATGGAGACTGATAAACTGGGAGGCATCAGTCCATTTTCCAGGTATCTGTGTGGTTTTAGGACTGAGCAGAAATGGGGAGATGAGGTTACAGTGGATGTCCTGCTTGTATTCATCAGGTTCAGAATCTTGCATTTTTGTCTGTAAACCCATTTACCCATTTCTGTTATACCAACGTAAATGTTGCTAACATATTCAAAGGTTACATAAATGTTTAAATATTTATGACAGCACTTCTGTGAGCAGAGAGCTTTTTCCAGTGCCTCTTAAAGGAATCTCAATTTCAGTGAAAAAAAAAAAATAAATTACAGGATAATCAGCAAAGAATAGTGGTGTTCAGCACTTTTCATCCCTGTGTTCAGCTCAGTGCCATCACTCTGGCACACCAGGAAGGCACCTGGAGCTCATCAGGTCAGGCTCTGGGAGCAGCCACTCATTGCACTAAGGAGCACCAGAATCACTGATTCACCACAGACCAACACATCATTTACAGGAAATATTAGGCTGTGATAATTTCACACACTCTTTTGGATATTCATGTCCTTGCTATAGAATTTCTCCCAAGATTTCTTTTTAACAAGGTGCTCTGTAGAAAGGGAATCATGCTCTATTAAATTCTCCAGGTTTTGAAAGACACACTCTGTGTGGCTGTCCAGCCTTGATCCCAATTAAACACCATGGTCTCACACAAAGGAAATCCTCTGCTACAGGAACATTAGGCTTCCTAAGAAGGATTTCAATGCCTGGCTGCATAATCCTGAATAATCAGTAACCTAGTGGAAAACTGAAGCTGTCTCAAGGCCCTCAACACTCATTTTTTCAAATTAGACTGTTTAAGTCTGCTAAAAGTTAAAGCATCAGACCTGAGCTCTTCCATGCTATTATTTACAGCTTTGTGGCAACGTCAGAGCAGCCTTGAGAATGGAAACCTCCATCCCAGGAGCTGCTCAGGGGCTCAGGAGGGGCAGCCAGAGCTGCTCCAGCAGCACAGAGGCAAACACAGCCCTGCAGGCTGGCAAACCTGAGCACTGCAAAGGCTTGGTTTGCTCACATCCGTGCAGGAACAACCCCAAGAGCCCTTTCCACAGTGATCCCCCCCAAAATGACTCAGTCTGGTGGGATAGCTGAGGAACATTCCCACTGTGGCACAGGGAGCAGGGCAGCACTGCCTGCATGAGCTGGTTTCAGCTGCACCCCTCAGAATGAGCGGCCTGCAGCTCTCAGAGGCACCCAGGGCTGGGTGCTGGTGGGGCTGGGTGCTGCTGAGAGCTCCACACCACAGACTGGAGCCAGTCCTCAGGACAGGCAACACAGGTCCCTCAGTAACACAGATCCATCAGTAACAAAGATCAGTAACACAGGTCCCTCAGTAACACACATCAATAACACAGATCAGTAACACAGACCCATCCCAGAGTGGAGCCAGTCCTCAGGACAGGTAACACAGGTCCATCAGTAACACAGACCAGTAACACAGATCAGTAACACAGAGGATCATGGAGTGAATCTGGTCCTCAGGACAGATAACACAGATCCATCAGATTAGTAACACAGATCAGTAACACAGATCAGTAACACAGACCCATCAGTAACACAGATCCATCCAGAGTGGATCCAGTCCTCAGGACAGATAACACAGATCCATCAGTAACACAGATCAGTAACACAGACCCATCAGTAACACAAACCCATGCCAGAGTGGATCCAGTCCTCAGGCAAGGCTCCCAGCAATGCCAGCCCAGCACAGCTGGGAGCCCCAGCCCTGCAGAGCAGAGCTGGGTAACACCAGGGCCATGCTCTGGGTGCATTCTGGGCTCTCTCTGCTGAGCAGGGGCTGCACTTTCAGTATCAGCAGCCAGATTAGCAAAACTAAGCAGAAAGCCCCCAAAGCAAGAGAGCTTTTCTTAGGGCAAAGGCTGCACATTATCTAATCTCATTACAGAGATTTCAGAGGCAGCCTTGCAGAGCAGCAGCAGTACATTTAACTAACTGAATATCATTCACCACGACAGAACTGAGAGAGTGAAAGGGGCACAGAATGCCAGCTGGGACTGGAGGGCATCTATTTGCTCCCAAATGACCAGCTTCTGAGGCTGGGCTGTGCTGTGCTGAGCCACAGGAGCTCTCTGCAGCTCGCATTATCACAGAACCCAAAATCTGCCGTGCTCTGTGCACTCTCCAGGCAAGCAATTTCTGGAAATGGGGACAAACAGAGAGCTTGGCTCCTGCTCACTGGGGATGTGGCAGCCCATATTTGCAGCATGGCCGCAGATATCCTGCTTGGCAAGGCAAGATCCCAGGGTGGAATCGCTTTTAATTCCATCTCACAGTTTGGGCAGTGGTTGTGCATTTCCATCACAGTGTTTGTAACTCCTTAACTCAGTGTGTATGTACAATGCACAGATTCACAGTGAGTAACGACAACCAGGGGCAGAAAAGCAAAGCAGAATCAAACCATCCTCTCTTCTGACTGCATTCATCAGGTCTGGAGCAAACTGACCATGCTCCCATCACACCCGGCACAACACTGGTGCTGCTTCTCCCATTTCTTTTCCCAGTCTTGGTGTTGGAGCTTTGGAGGTGACTCTGAAGCATTTCCTGTGGAACTTGAGGTGCTGTTGCTGTGGTTTTTCACCTGGGCTGCACTGGCTCTCCATCCCCAGGGCAGGTAGAGAGCTGGGTGATGGCACAGGGGAGGGAAGTCTGCAAGGATACAGTTTGGAAGTTTCTTCAGCTGCCCTTGAAACTTCTGCCTGTGATGTGATGGCAAGGTATTGACAACTTCCATTGTGAATGTATCCCAGTCCATGCCCATTGTGAGTTGCAGTTTCCACAGAGGCTGGTGCTGCCATTCCTGACAGAACAGCTCCTGTGGAAGCTCCAGCCACTGCTGCCCTGGTTATCTGCTGGCATCTGACACAAGGCTGTGGTAAAGCTTCATTTCTGTAAAGCTCCTCTCAAGTTCTGCTGCTCTGCTGAATATATTGATCCCAGAAATGACAGCACTATGGGAAGTAGGGAGGAGGGCAAGGAGGTGGAGTTTCCATTTGTTATCCTGTTCAGAATATAACATAGCACATTTGCCAGAAGAAAGTTCAGAGCAGCAAAACAATGGCATTTCCATGCTGTGACTTTCTCCCCTGCTTTTAAGGTATTCAGTTTGACACAAGTGACTCTGTGTTCACACAGCATCAGAAGGGATGAAGGAGCCAGCAGAGAGCCAGGGAGCTGCCTTGGACACACAGAGATGGAGCTGCTGCCTTGGACTGACAGAGATGGAGGAGCTGCCTCTGCACTCCCAGAGATGGAGGAGCTGCCTTGGACTCCCAGAGATGGAGGAGCTGCCTTGCACTCCCAGAGATGGAGGAGCTGCCTTGGACTCCCAGAGATGGAGCTGCTGCCTTGGACTGACAGAGATGGAGGAGCTGCCTTGGACACACAGAGATGGAGGAGCTGCCTTGGACTGACAGAGATGGAGCTGCCTTGGACACACAGAGATGGAGCTGCTGCCTTGGACTGACAGAGATGGAGGAGCTGCCTCTGCACTCCCAGAGATGGAGGAGCTGCCTTGCACTCACAGAGATGGAGGAGCTGCCTTGCACTCCCAGAGATGGAGGAGCTGCCTTGCACTCCCAGAGATGGAGGAGCTGCCTCTGCACTCCCAGAGATGCAGCTGCTGCTGTCCCAGGGCTTTCAGGTTATTTTGGGAGTGTCAGTGGGAACTGCACTGGCAGCTCCTCAGCTACTCAAACCTCAAACCTTCAGGGTAGGGGATTGTTGTGTTCCTCACAGCAGCACCACACCTGTTCTGCAGGAGCCTGAGCAGGGTTTGCTCCTGAGCAAAGAGCACAGAACAGCAGCAAAAGCAGCAAAACCCACCTGAGCTGCAGCAGATGGCAAGGAGCCCCTGCATGCAACTGCAATTGCCATTAATGCATCCAGACAGATGGATCTTATTGGTAAATTCCAGCTTGGCAAAATAAAATTTGGCTTTTGCTTCCTTTTTAGTGCCATAATAAATTTTGTGTTCACTTTTAAAAGGTTGGACCACTGTGTGAAGGTCTAGAGCACTCAAAGGCATTTAAAGTTCATGAAATCCGCTGTAAATTTGGAAATAAAGACTGGGAACTGTGAGACAATAAAAGAAGTAAAAGGAGTAGCAGTCAGCACATTCAAACTGTGCCCTGAACTGCCCTGGGACCATGAGGATCACTGGGAAACTCCTACCTGCTATTTGCAGAGAGATCTTAAACTCAAATTTCCACAGGGTTCTGTTACTGAGAACAATGTAATTCAGCCCAACTGAAGTAAAAATTAATATAAATAAGCTTTGAGCTGATGGCCAATTGCTGGGCAGGAGCATTACCTATAAGCTCTTTACATGAACCATACAAAGGACATTTATTTGCTAACTAAATATTACAGGCCAAGTGCAGACAGGCACTGAGCATCTTCAGCTTCTGGTCTCACTGTCAGGTTTGGCTGAACCCAAATTACCAGAAATTCCACACAATTCAAAGCACACAAAAATATCTGCCTGAACCTTGAGATGATAATATGAGAAATATTGAATAGCTCTCAATAGCTCTCATCAATAACTCCTTTTCCTTTCCTGAGTTTGTGCTTTAAGGTAACCTACAGGCTTTACATGAGCTGTACACTCATGCACACAGCCCTTGCACCATGGGCTCTGCCCAAAAGACAAAATTTATGAAGACTGGGTTTTATTTTTCAGCAGAAAGGTTACTCCCAACAAGGTCTCTACACCAGGTTTTCACAGAGGAAGATATTTCTAAAGAATTGAACATAAAAGCTTGATGGAGAATTTCAAAATGAATTAAGGATGAAAGGCCTATGTTCTCATTTGAAGCTTTCTGAGTGCTTTTTAAAATCTGAACCAATTGAAGATGTCAATTTGCCTTGAACCCCAAACCACTTCCCTACGTAAAGAAAGAAATTTTGTGGAAACAAGAACATTCTAGATGAAAAAAAAAATGAAAAAGCCTTTTTTCCTCTATGATGAGATGAGCAAACCTTTTTGTTCCAAGCACTTAATTGAGCTGTGTTTTTCAGCCAGCTGTATGTTTTACAGCAGTGAGCACTTGTGCCACAGCCACATCCCTCCAGAGGTTCTGCATATACTCCAAACACACAGGAGACACCTTCTCCCACCATCTGAGCAATTTCCAACCAGCCCTGAAGAGAGAGAAATTACACCTGAAAATGTCCCTGGCTGGTACCAATAAATGCTGTGTTAACCTCCAGTCATTTGTTCCACTTCAGCTTCAGAGTGCCCCAGGCAGGGGAGGCTCCTGAAGCCACTCAAAGTGTTCTGATGGTGCACACATCATTGGAAGGAACCCTTTTAGTGCAGGTAAATTATTTCTGCAGGAAATAGGAGAAGAGCACAGCAAGGCCCCAGGTGCTAATCAAAGGGTGCTTCAGGAAAACAAATTCTTCCCAAAAAAGTGGCTGGAGAACTGCAGCAGCCCAGGCTGTGGTTATTCCCAGGCTGTTTTCCTTTTTCCTGTGAAATGGGAAAGCCCAGGAGTCACTGGGTGGCAGGAACTTACTTTGATGACGTCCTCCCCGGAGGATTTGCACTCCACAGACTCGGAGATGTCTGTCACAGCACTGTTCTCCTCGATGGACACCACCTTGATGGGCACTGCCACCGTCCTGCCCGTCAGGATGGCCGTGTTCAGGATCTCTGTGTCCTGCACCAAACAAAGCACAGCACAGCCCACATCAGCTCTGCGTGGTCAAAGTGTCCCAGCTCACCCCCAGAGAGGGGCAGCCTGGTGAAAGGAATGGAACCCCAGCACTGCTCCCATCAGCTCTGCATGGCCAAAGTGTCCCAGCTCACCCCCAGAGAGGGGCAGCCTGGTGAAAGGCAATGGAACCCCAGCACTGCCCACATCAGCTCTGGGTGGTCCCAGCTCATCCCCAGAGAGGGGCAGCCTGGTGAAAGGAATGGAACCCCAGCACTGCCCACATCAGCTCTGCATGGTCAAAGTGTCCCAGCTCACCCCCAGAGAGGGGCAGCCTGGTGAAAGGCAATGGAACCCCAGCACTGCTCACATCAATCAGCAAAAGGGGCTGAAAATCTCAGCTCATGCCCAGAGAGCACAGCGCTGCTCACATCAGCTCTGGGTGCCTGACGTGTCTCAGTTCACCCCCAGAGAAGTGCAGCCTGGTAAAAGGCAGTGAAATCCCAGCCCTGGTTAATCTGCTGGATGAACACTCAGTGCTGCTCTCTGTTCAACAGCACCTTTCTCTAAACTCAGGTCAGGCACAGCCCACAGGTATCTTCTGCTTTTCAGACATGAGGGATTATTCCCAACATTGACCTTCCAACATGTGATTTCAGAGTTTTTACTAAGGTAGACTTGACTGGCAATCACTTCTCAATCCTGACTTGACTGGCAATCACTTCTCAATCCTGCTCTTCATTTATCACTTTCCAATACAAGGGCTTTTACTTCATGAGTGATACCAGCTGCAGGAGAAAGAGGGAGATGCTGTCCAGGAGTGGCACCAAAAGGGAACAGCCTGCTTCCTTTGGGTAGGGATAAAAGAGCCTCCAAAGCAGAAATGAATCCAAGACCATTGCAGAGACGGGGCCTCTCCGTGAACTTTGTGTCTGGAACTGTTTCAAGATTATTTAATTTCCTCTGATATGGCCAATGAAGCAATGTAAGGAATCCAGAAGGAGTCAGTGATGCTGTTAACTGCAGGGGAAATAACAAGGAAATTTGAAGTCTGAGCTGGGGCTGTGCCATATAAAAGCCTTTCAATGCACCACCGGCCAGGCTAACACTTGGAACTCCTGAACTATGTCAGCATCAATGTATTCCCAAGATTCCCATGCAGGAAAAACTTCAAAGTTTTCTCCAACTGTTCAGCTTTCAATATAAAGTGAATAAAATATTCAGCAAATTCCTCAGCACTGAAGTCATGAGGACTGCAGCCACTGATGTCAACAGCAAAACGGGGCACTGACACTGCTGATACTGTTTTCAATTCAAGCTTAGTGAGTCTGAAATTTAGGTCAGATTTCCTTTTCATCTGGCAACTTGTTATTCCTCAGGTTCTCCTGCAGCTCTCTTAAGAAATCCCATCAAACTTAAAAGGAAATGCTAAAGAGGAATGTTGGCTGTTCTAGAAAGGTAAGAACCCTCAATGATTCCTACTGCAGCACGAGAGATGCCCAGCATTGGGAGGGGACTGGTGCCCACCCAGCCACAGCCCTGAGCAGAGATGGAAACCTTTTGCCTCCACCTCCCCTGAAAGCAGCCATAACTCATGGCTATTACACAGATTAAGAAATACTGATGTGTAAGCAATTAATATATTACACACCACACTAAAAGCAATTTTCAGCTCTGCCACTTCCCTTCCTCAGGCTCCAAGTGCCCTGTGATAGTTACAACAAACCAGAAAAAGAGATCAAGGAACAAAACCTGGATTTTATTGTCTTTTTTGTTTAGAACTAAAATAGAGAATTGTGTATCCTCCATCCCTGGATGTGGAACAGCCTCATGGCACAACTGCTGCCTGCTCTGTGTTCCCTTCATATTGCTGCAATAAAGCCAAAGGCAATCCAGGGACAATCACCACAAACCTGACAGAAAACTCTGCACAGCACAGGAAACATCCACAGCCCAACCTCCCCAAAGGCTGAACTGAAACAGAGCAAATGAAAGGAGTCAAGCAGACTCTGTCTGTCTGTCTGTCTGTCTGTGAGCACCTGGATTTGCTTCCCTGCATTCTCCCAGCCCCTGAACAGCCTCTGACAGGCACAAATCCCATCTTCAAGGACATGTCAAGCACCACCAGGACAATAATTGTTCTCCAGCAGCAGCAGCGTGGGGGCTTCTGGGTCTCATTTTTCAATGCAATATCCTGCCCTGATTGCAGGCTAATTCAGGAGTACACAGACAGCATTCCTAAGAAACTTTCAGAGAGACTACAGATTCATTTAAAATGAAGGCACTTTTCAAAATCACAATATCTTGGCCATTTCCACATTCTTTAATTTTTAAAATCCCCCAAGAACCAATCTACTTTCTGCGCAGGCAGCAAGTAGAGTTTTAAAATGAAATTTATTTTATGTGACAAAAAAATTGGAAGCATCTGATAGCAGTGTTTGGACTTGTTCCCCAAGAAATTCAAAGATGAGGGAAGTAGAGTAAATTGAAAAAACACACAAGGAAGATGCACAGTAAGTCAGCATCAATATCCAGGTCAGAAAGAAGTTCCTGTAAGTGAATTGCAAACTCTAAAAAAGCCAGGACTGGCACCTGCACAGCTGAAACAGAGCTACACAGATAATCCTCATGGAAACAAGGGAGACTGGAGCCCTGGCTTTGGAAGCCTCCAACTGTCTTGGCAGCACAATGCCCAAATCCCAACAACATCTGACTCTGCCACTGCAGAGGCTGGGCTGCCTTTCTTGCCTCAAGAACATCTACAAAGTGTTAGGAAGGTTTTTTCCTGTTACCAGGGCATCCCTTCCATGGATACAACATGTGAAGGAAATAATTACTATTTAAACACATTTAATTAACAAATAGTATAATTAAAGAACAAATTTCCCTCTAATGATTAGAGGAAAACTCTAGTGGTTAGGCTCAAGGAGGTATCAAAGGAGATATCTGAAAGCAAATTATTGAATTTTGCGTGTAAGAAATTCCTTTAAAATGTATTGACAGAATTTAATGCAAACCCACCACTGTGCAGGAGGTCTCCAAGCTCTCCTCCTCGAGCTGCTGTGGAGCTCAGAGCACCACAAAGCTGCTCTTGTACTCTGGCCTGGCCTGGCCTGGCTCAGGTTTATCTGGATGAAGTCCACTGGCCTCAGCCCTTCCTTCTCCAGCTGCAGCCACTGCCCTGCTCACAGCAAACTCTGCAGGACTGCTTTGCACAAACATCACCTATTTCCTAGCAAGGGGAAAGAATTCCCCAGAGCAAATGTGTTCTAGGCACCCCTAGGGCTGACTCTGCAGCAATCTCACTCTTTATTCCACCCCTTTTCAGTCAGGGAGCTTGCACTGAGGGCAGTGGGAGCTCTGCACAAAGAGCAAGAACACAAAGTGCTGCTTGGGCTTAGCTGAAGAGCAAACCTGATGCTCATCCAAGCTCTCAGTTGTAAAAAGGCAAGCATTCAGCCATGACTGATTCAGGAACTAATTCAACATTAAATTGTGGCAGAATGAGGAAGCAAAGTGACAGCTGTTTAATTAAACTCTAAATCTGATTAGATGGTGTTATCAAGAGAAATCCATGGGAGCCTGAGGTCATGAGAATGGTCCAGTGTGCAGGCTGGAAATTCTGCGAGTGGAGTCTCCCAGGATGATGTTAATTATGGCTCAGCATTCAGATCTGTCCCCCTCACAGCCACAGCACCTCAGCAGTGACAAACCTGTGGCACAGACCTGGAGGACCGACACAAAAATGCCACTTATGCTTTGATAGGGAGAGTTGCTTGGAGGAGCATGTGGGAAAGGGCAGCTGGGCACTGCTACCCTTGAAATGAACCCAGCAGTTGTGTCTCAGAGCAGCACAGGGGCAGCAAGTGCTGGCTGCTGACAGGGCTGCATGGGGACAAAGCCCACCCAGGAGAGCTCCAGGAGCTGGGCTGTGCTTCCACTGAGGCTCCTATCCCTGGGAACACTGATGTGTGCCAGAGGAGATGGAGATGTGGGAGATGTGAGGCTGCAAACACCCAGGCAGCCCAGGAGGGGCACTGAGCTGTGCCTCAGCCCCAGAGCAGGCACAGAGCTGCTCTGCACTGCTCTGCACTGCTCTGCACTGCTCTGCATTGCTCTGCACTGCTCTGCACTGCTCTGCAGGCAGCTGTGGGGCTGCTGGGTGAGCACAGTGGGTGTGGGTTCAGTCATTCATGCTCCTGAGATTACAGCTGATTAAGGAAACAACACTGGTAGGCAGCAGACTCTGCTGATCCCCAAATCCCACGATTAACAGTAAATTATACATTGTGCTTTCTGCCAGCTGGGCCCTCTGACCCCCTCTCCACAGGCACTGGGTGCAGGAGGGAAGGAATTCTGCTCTGGAAATTCTCAGCACAGCCTGCAGAAGAGCAGGGGTTCCTACAGACCAGGGGGTGGCATGGCTGGGACCCCTGGGGCAGAGCCAGCCCCTGGCAGCAGTGGGGAAGGGCAGATTTTGTTGGGTGGATTTGGGGCTGCTCTTTCACTTGATTCAGTACCATTGGCCCACCACATCTCAGTGCTGCTCTTCACTGATCACTTTCTAATACAAGGGCTGTCACTTCATGAGGGATACCAGCTGCAGGAGAAAGGGGAGATGCTGTCCAAGAGTGACACCAAAAGGAGCAGCCTGCTGCCTTAACAGCATCCTCAGCCTCCAAACGGGGAGAATCCACGTTCTCCATGGCTGGAGCTTGAATCCAGGTTACTCCATGACTCTGAGGTCCACACAGCCATGGAAAATGTCAGCTAAGAACAAATTAACTGTGGAGAAAAATCAGGCCATTCCAAATCTACATAAGAAACAGACTTGTGAGTAGAAGTTGCCATTGCTGCAGTCTGTTCCTGACGAGGACAGGAGAACAAAGGAACTCAAAGCTTCCTTTGGGTGGTGATTGCACTGTGAGGAGTCTCCTCTCTGCTAAAGCTTTGCTCAACACAACACCACACAGGGCACAGGAATTCAGGGCAGCACCTGCCCCAAG